TCATGCCAAGTCATTAGCCATTGCACAACATCACTTTATCCTTACAAGAGTCAAATCCTTACAAGAGTCAAATCTTCCCAATCTTCACTTTTCAGGTTTGACATTGTTTAAAAATGGTTATGCAGTCTTCTAAAGGATTATTTATTTTCCACCCTACAGCTCATTTCCCCACAGGCATAATTTCATTAGTTTATCGCTGCTCTATTGCTATTTCCATGCTAAATGTGCCAATGAGCTATGTTCTATAGTGTTACTAACTTTATGCCCCACACTGCTATGTTCACAGGATTGATTCCTGTTATGGGACCTTACCCATAATAACATAAGGGACTATACCATACGTAATAAATACTGCACCTCAAGAGAAAGCAGGGAGTTCCGTCTGAAGTCTAGAGTTCAGTCTGAAGTCTGGAGTGAAGTCCGTCAGAAGTCTGTCAGTCAGTCAGAGTGAGCGTGTCAGTCAGTCAAGTCAGAGGCAGTCCGAAACAGAGTTGCATTCAGACAAGTACTACTAAACCTGATTGTTCGTACTAACACTTTCTACTTCTCTGTATATATTCCTGTTTGTAATATATCTGTGTTATTCCATATCTGTGTTCGAGTTCTTCTTTATTGGTTCTACCTTGGACTATCATCGTGGTACAAGGAACTGGACCATAACAATTCCCTGCCATCACTTTTTTATTACTTTGGTAAGAAGAGGTGTCACTCCAAAATCTTGTTCCCAAGAACCACTACTTTATGAAACAGACTCCCACATAGATGCTTTCCCAAACAGCTCAATCACAGCATTCAAGTCTAGGTCAAGAGATATCTGCCTGCATTATCTTCATAATTTCTATTCCCTCCTGGTATTCATATCACACATTCAGTAATCCTCTACTTTGAGAGGCTCTTTAGTCTTGTATCAGATGAACTTTAGAAAAATATCTTGATATGTGCATATAATGATATTTAAAAGCTACCATAGAACAATTTAATAGTCACATATATGCTGAAGTCAGCTAATTTTAATACGAGTTACTAATAACGATTTATGAGATAATCTTTATAATATGCATTTAGAAAATTGTTTTGCTTTCATTTGTTTCCAAACAGTCATCCAAATCTGGATCAGATTCGGTATATGTGTTACAAGTTAGATATTGCCATTTGGAACAATATGGGAAGAATCAGAATTTTCAGTAAATTAAAAATTTTAACTAGATGATAGCAATCTGTGCAAAATGCTTTCAAAAGACGTTAGCAATTTGAGTATTATAGTTTTGAAAAATTAATATGTTATATGTTTTCAAATAGTATTGGCAATTTGAGTAATATGATTTCAACTGGTACCAGCAATTTTAAAATATTTCAAGAGATGTTGACAATTTAAATGAGCTATGAAGAAGTGTTATGTTTCAGTCTACTGACAAAGAAAGATTATATTGAGAAATAAACTTTTGCTGCTTAAATGTTTTCTTTCTGCATATTAATTTACTGAAGTTTACATATATACATATGTACATGAGGATATACCCTGGCAAAATAGCTTGCATATACAATAAGTTTAGAAAATATTTAATATGCACAAAAAGATAAAACAATGCATAATAATATTTGCATATTCTTTTTTTGTGTGTTGTTGCTCTTTTTAACCATTACACATGATGTCACTTTAGAAATTTTGTAACCAAGGGAATCTTGCCTATCACACTGACAACACATGGTTCTTCATAATGACAGATGGTCAAAAGTACTGGAACAAAACCAACTGAACAAACATGAATTTTGAACAGTTCATTTACAATTTTTATGCTGAGATACAATATATTAGAAAATTGGAAAAATACAATGAAAAAAATTAAATAGACCTTGTCGGTTGAATTTAATAAAACCTGTTTAGGTGTATGTACGTATTTAGATATATGTATGGATATATGTCTTCTTTTTTGTGTCCAATACTACGTTCATCTAATGTATATATATATATATATATATATATATATATATAAAAGTAAAGTCAACACATTTAAAGCGACAGGCTGTTTCATGCTAGATGCAATCATCAGGCCTGACAATTGCATTTAGCATGAAACAGCCTGTCGCTTCTAAGTGTTGACTGCAACATTCACTTTTATATTTACACACAATCTATCTCTGATACTGAGCACTTTACCCCATAAATATAGCACATCTTATAGAGTATATTTCTTCATAAATATATATATATATATATATATATATATATATATATATATATATATATATATATGCACCCACGAATTAAAGATCAAATGCAGATCAAATATGAATTGGAATCAACTGTATGTTAAAATAAAGAACAAATAGCAATACATATATCAATTTAACATGTTTCACATTTATTAAAGCTTCATCAGAGATTGACTGAAAACAGACAAAAAGACAGAAACTTGGCTATTTTCAATCAATAACAACAAACAAAATTGAAAATACCAGAGTTTCTGTATTTCTGTTTGTTTTCAGTCAATGTCTGATGAAGCTTTAATAAAAGTGAAACCTGTTAAATTGATAGACATTTCCTATTTGTTCTTATCTTATATATATATATATATATATATATATATATATATAT